GTGGGGAGATTAAAGGGGCGGGGTGCTCTGTTGCTCAAGCACGATGGTACAGCTGTATTGTTCTGTGTTTTTTTACCCCTATTATATTGTTTAATGTTCTGTGTTCTGTGTCGCTGTATAGTTCTATGTTCTGTGTTCTGTGTTCTGTGTTCCGTGTCAGTGTATCGTTTTTGGATTTGTATTTTGTTTCGCTGAATTGCTCTATGTTCCGTATTCTGTGTTGCGGTATTGTTTTATGGTTTGTATTCTGTTTCGCTGTATTGTTCCATGTTCTGTGTCACTGTATCGTTCTGTGTTATGTGCTCTGTGTTCTGTGTTGCTGTATTGTTTTATGTTCTGTGATCTGTGTTTTGTGTTCTACTTCTATATAATATATGCTGTATTGGCATTGCTATATTTTCTGTGTTCTGTGTTGTTGTATTGTTCTCTATTCCGTGATCACCACTTTTTACAAACCCTGATCTCCGCTCTCTACAATAACAGACATTTTTTGGTGTTTTTTTCGTTATTTTCAGGCTCAGGCCCGGACCAGGTCGGGACAGGATGGATGAGTCCCGGAAGTGACCAAATCACGTGGTACCCCGTGCCCCGCCCCCTGCAGGAACCGTGCCACCCGTTTGCGTGTGTAGCCCCTCCCCCTCGCCTGGCACAGCGCCCCCTGAACAGAGGCCATGGTGCACCAAGCGCCCCCGGGCCGAGACGTGCTGGAAGTACGGGTGTGTAGCTTGTCCTTCCAAAGACACAAGGCCGCCTACCTCGTCTGCCAGAAGCGACAGCGCATCACTTTCGCCGAAACAGACGACAAGATGGCGGACAGCAGCGCTGAGCGACAACCGCTCCCCATGGTGGAGTTGCGCCCCTTCTCTAAGAAAGTGTGGCGGCGGGAGAAAAGCCTGCCAGACTTCTACGATAAAGCTCAGCTGCAAGACGAAACAAAGACAAGCAGCTCCAAGGAGCAGACTGTGGATTTATCCTCTTCCACGGGCAAACTTCTTAGAGAAATTGAGGAGAATAGACGGCTCACGGAATCGCGGCACAACACAGTGGTGAATTCTTTGTCCAAAACTCGGAGTCACCCTAAAGCCGAGTTTTTTCACGAGTCGAGTAAAGGCCTCAAGTCGAACGAGCTCATCCCAAGCTTCGTAACCCGGATGGAGCGTACGAGGACAACTTTCGACGCCCTCCACAAGGAGCCTGTACCCATGAGCAAGTACTCACTCCAGGCAGACCCGCCGGAAGGCGAGGAGAGCTCGGAGATGTTCACTAGCCCCGCCATCAAGGTAAAGGGCGGACGGATGAACCAGCGAATCTACAGACGCCATCTCCTGTACTTGAACCCCCTGGATTCGTACCGGCAACCTCACTCGTGGAACTCCTCGCTGGTGGGGGGAGAGCTTGCCAGACAAACATCCATGGTAAGTAAAGGCACCCTTGGTAGGAACAGCTACCCTATGTGCTCGAACAAGGCCAGAGAACTTGTATTGTCCGGGGCGAGTCACATGAACTACCCGCTCAAGCCGATCCGGACCGAGATGTCTCAGTGTCACAGTCCGCACAAGTTCAACAGCAAGCTGGGCGCCGCCAAAAACTCGCTCAACATCCTCAGCAAGTGGGGGGTGCCCACCAAACTGGAGAAAAATCTGGAGAAGGAATTCGAGATGAATCTAGAACGATTTCGTCGAGAACGTTTGCTGCTGCCAACCGACCTGAAGAGTTTGTCTGGTCACTACATGACGGTTGACAACAACCCCACGCGAGGAGAGATGTGTCTCCGGCAAGCCCGCGAGGCAAATAGGGCAAAAGCCAAGCGCGCGGCCGTGGGTCAGAGAAAGGTCGGCGTGGACGGACGAGACTCGGGCATAGCCAGCGAGGGTGGGGCGGCAGGGAGCCCGAGGGCCGGAGAGTTTGTGAATGTTTTGCTGCACCCCATAGAGAGCACGTTGGCCGAGGAATCGGAGAGTCATGTGAACACCGACCCTGGCGATAACGACCAGGAAGAGAGGGAGGAGGGAGAAGATGGAGAGGAAGTGGGGGGATCAACAGTTAAAACATCACGTCCCGGGCTATCCGGCCATCCCATTACGTCCACAGGCAGAGACGGAAAACAAACCTCATCGCGCTCACAAGACAGTTTTGGGAATAGCGCCGGCGGGTTTGGGTTGAAAGTCTTGCAAGACGAGTCGTTCCGAGGGTCAGATCGGGACGTGTATATGAGTGACCTCCCAGGCTCAGAACGTGTGACTCGCACTACGACAGAAGGTCAAGGCCGGGGTGGCGAGGGGCGGAGCAGGTCAGCCGGCGCACGCAGGGCGCACGAGGAGGTGGAGCTCAGTTTTAACACCAGCACAGACCGGACGGACACCGGCCGGAGAGTGACGACACCTGATGACGAGGAGTCTGTGAGTCCGGCGGCGCGGGCGAAGACAAACCTGGAGTACCTGCACAACCTGCGCCGCACCGGCGGCTTGCCCCTCGTGACGACGTCACGACAGTCTGTGGACGCCAGCGGCCCCGCGACACTCACTGAGCGCGCTCGCAAACGATCCGACATCGGGGAATTGGCGGCAAAACAAGTGTACGCTGACAAAAATAACAACAACAACCACAACAACATTAACAACAACAACAACAACAACAACAACAACAACAACAACAACAACAACAACAACAACAACAATATCGCTACTGTTTCAGGGACAATGGATTCCTCTTACAAAGACAGCACTGCTCATCCCAGAAGCGAAAATCTGTGTGCAGCTAGTGCTGGGGAAGAGACTGGTGTCGTGCCTGTAGCCCATGCCAGTGCTTCTGTTCATGGGGTGGGTTCCAACCCAGCGGTGCTCGTCCCTGTCGCGAGTTCAGCAGGCCTGGGAGATTCTAAGACTTCCGGTGTAGCTGAGGCTAACAGAAGTGTGGTAGCAACATCAGACAACAGAGTTTTCTCTCAGGCGGGTTCTGCGGAAAACGGAGGCTGCCACGAGCCAGAGGCTGACGTAGTGGGGTCTTCAGTAGATGGGCATACAACAACAAAAGCTTCTCCGGACGCCCCTGTAAATATCACGCCATCTCGCGGAGATGGTTCTCTGGCTGTCAATCAAAATGGACTGCCAGAGACAAGAGATATAACCCCCTCTGGTCATGCCACCAAACACTCGGCCAGTGTTACCAATTCTGGGTCAAGGTCACCGCACAATCACATACCTGAGGTTGCACACCCCGTCACTTCTGATGTGGACCGGCCTAGTTCTGAGTCCGTCCCGCCCCACGACGAAGAAGCCAGTCTAGCAGACGACAGCGGCCACGAGGCCACCCCTCGGGACTTCCTCAAACATGGCGGCAACTCCGCAACTCTCGTGAATGGAGGCGCGCCGGTTGAAGACGTCACAGCTACTAGTATTTCTGGGAAGGCCTCCGTCGTTACGTGGAATCAGATGAAGGGAAAACCCGGAGCATACGTCAACGGCCTAGACTCCGCCCACCGAGCAGAGGAGGAGCCTGTCACTCTAGCCACGCCCCTTGACAGCACGCTGCTCGACAGCAGCGCCATCACAGAGCTCCTGTCTGACGGAGAAGGCGGGGATGGCGGGGCTCTGTCAGCCAGCGCGGACAACGGAGACAGCGGAGTGTCCACCACCTTCCTCACTGCAGACGACTCAAGGCCTGAGCTGCTAGACGGGCTCTTATTCTAGGGCCAACAATAATAATATTATTATAACAATAGACAAGTCGCTACCCTTGAATTACACAATCTGTCTGCTCAGTTGGTTACCTAGTTTTGATAAATTTGACGTTTGAAACTTTGAGTTTCCCAACATGTCCATCTTTTTTTTCAAATGCAAATCTTTGAATATCTTGGTAACGACTCTGAATAATCTTACGATTTCTGTAGAGTGGCTAGAAAATTTAGTGTCTGGTACCATTGTCTTAGCGACTCAAAACGACCAGAAATGTCTGATAAAACTTTGTAATACTAATTCTAAGGTAGCAAAGTGTATGCTCTCTGAACTCTGAGTGGGCGGTTGGTGGCTGCTGTTATGCGGTCTGCTCCTTCTTTCATATCAAACGTCTATATTCCTCATCTCTCCTCCTTTTTTTCTATGCATGTTACTCTTTAAAACACCTCTGATTTTCGGCACTTATATGGCTTATTTGTGTTGCAAGTGCCATAAAACTCTTACTGAAACTAAACTATACGCCCAAAAACCTTCACTGCAAGAGGGACCCTTGTTTTAGAACAAATAATTGTGGACTTGTCAATGGCATGGCCGTTCATAGACCTGAAATATCCTAGACCAGCCACTGCCACGGTCGCCCATAGACTTGAATAGACTGGGTACTGTCATAGCCGCCATTTTTTTCTCTTCTTAATGAGGAAAACTTCACTTTGCTGGTGTGCGTGCAGTGTGCACCGTGGGCATGGAAGTGAAGTACGAAACACAGATCTCGCTTTAGCCGAGTGAGAGTGCAACGTTTCACTCCTTGCTCAGCAATGTGGTTCCTAATAAAAGCCAAATGATGCGCTCCGTGGCGAACTGGAATTAATTGGTCAGGAGTGCCCAGTCAATGATATTATAATCAGAGGCGAAGCGTCTATATAATCAAATAATCAATGCTTCCCTTCCCAATTTTGAAACATTGTCGCAGTAAAATTCACCCATAGACGTAAACCTCATAAATTAAATGTAAAAAGACGTTCATAATCACCAATGAACAATAGACTATGCCTAACCTTCAAAACCGTTTCATTGCCACAGAAATAGCCTGTTCGCCCCTATCGGGCCACTCCATAAGCAGTCACAAGCTTTGATTAAGTAAGCTTAAAGTGAGGCTGGAAGAGTCAACCAATAGATTTGAAGGGAACATGTGCATAGCAGTCAGAACTGTTTCATTGTCGCATATACCCTGTTCACCCCTATCGGGCCACAGTTATAAGCACCCAGACGCGCTGATTAGGTAAGCGAACTATTACACTGGTCGAGTCTACCTCACAGATGTGAGGGGAACTAACTCCTAATAATTCTTTGACTCCTGCTACTGCACTGCTAGTGCTTGTTTTTTTCCTCTACTTAACGTCCTATAATCAGATCGTGACCTCGATTATGACAGCAGCTCCTGGCCGCGAAAAGCTAGACAAAAAACAGCCAAATGTGAAATAAAAAATTAATAATTGGCGTGCTCTACCAAAGTGTTTCGGCTGTCTGGTATAACATGCCATTGTAGTGCTGTCATCTGTGCTTCTTTCCTTGGTGTTCGTGTGTTCAAATCTAAAGTTAAATTTAAGGTTAGTTAGAATAAATATTTAATGAAATACTTTCCCGATTATTTTAGCGGTTGAACAAGCATACAACATGAATTCAGGATTTGTTTTCATTCACAACTCAGAGTTGCCGCCTCCTGTGCCAGTAAGATTCTTGTGACTTGTGTGAGTGTAATATCTCCAGGCCCTATCTGGTCCCATTTCACTTTGATTACCCTGTCAAACAAGTCAGCCTTCGCCCCTGATTATAATTTATTATTTATATTATTCAACAAATCTAATGAGCAAACCATAATTATTATACTCGAGATACACGTGTACACTTGTTGAAAGCTCTATTGTTGGAGAGAGACCCTTGTGTTATGTACAAGACAAGGGTATACTTTTTGGAAGCTCTACTATTAGAGAGACCCTTGTTTTATTTACCTGAGGTACAAGTGTATACTTTCTGAAAACGCCACACTGCTTAGGGGACTCTCGTTTTTGCGCGGACACTCTCTTCTCCCTCGAGTAGGCTACAGCGAGACGACTGCAGTGTTTAGGGCAGGTGCGAGGGTAAGAAAGAAGAGAGGGGGTGGAGTGGGAGGTCGGGTGCTGTCTATTTATAGAAATTATATTCGAACATTTCTTCGCTCATTAGATGTGTGAGTGCTTTCGAACGTTCAACTTGACTAGGCAATTAAGAGAAGTATATTCATGGATTGTGAGTAGAGTCCAACAATAGCCTCCACTGAACGTTCCTCTTGTCCGGATAACATTATTTTCTTTTAATGCTGAAAATTTCTCGCTTGGTTCAAATTTCAACTAATTATTATTTCTTTATTCATTATCCCTTTATTCATTATTTCTTTCTTAATTTATTGTTGGTTATAATTAGTTTTGCATCGAAACGTTTAATAAACAGCAGAGTACGAATAACTTGAAGGACGTTTGAACATGACAGATGGCATTGCGTGATTGTAGTGTGGGAGTGTCTGATTCAACGGGAAGCGGAAATTTGCGCCGGATTATTCAGTCATTATCGATTTTCTTTTAGAGTATTGGATGGATACTGAGTAATACTAGTATAGCTTTCCATGTGCATTAATCTAAATCTCTTTCGTTCGCCAATTATCGAGACTCTTTTAGTTTCTGTCTTTGTTTTTGTTTTATAATGTTTTTCTAATGTCATATCAATGGGGGGGGGGGGGGGGGGTATCAAAGGAAGCAGTCTAAGGTAAATCATTTGTATAGTTTTTTAGGTCCATCTGAGCAAAATGAATTTATTTAGACATACCTGGTAGGCTAGTTCAATACATCATCATCGATAGCACCAATACAATAAGACCCGGGCTCCGTTTCATTCAATGCCTGCCCTTCACTCGACGGCGGCTCGATTAACATGGCTTTTGTGCTTGAGATTACAATACCAACAATCAAGCTGTGTCCACTTTAGAAATTAATTACTCCACATGTCGACCAAAGAGAAGTGTTTATCTTCTCTAGCGACTCATCGATCATTTAATAGTTGTACGAGCTTAGTTCTACGTCAGGTTTCTCCTCACTGTCATAGTTCTCTCCTCCACAAAAACTGTTGTAACAACAAGCTATGGGGATAAGTGGGTGTGCCCCCCTTTATGAATCTCTCGAGTATGACTGAACGACGACACTGATTTATTTTGGCAATTTGTAGGCTACCTGTTGTTTACATGTCTATGTATTTCTTCATTCAGTCATTCAGCTCTTTCATCGTACTTTTCTTCTACCGGTTTTGTTCCACTTTGTTTCAGGGGGGGGGGGGGGTCTACCTTTCTTCATTTCTTTTTTTTTTTTTTTTTTTTTATTATTATTCTTACCTTCATCAAAATCCATACTTTGCAGACTTGTAATTAATTATAAAATTGCTTTGGTCTGCTCTACACAAGGCTTCCGTGAAGGAAGTTGATTGACTTGGGAAGAATGCTTGAGTCGGTCATGGGCACTAGTACTGGTAGAAACATGTAGCTGTTGACTGACGTTGCGTTGACTGACATTGATAGAAACATGTAGCTGTTTACTAACGTTGATGAAAAGCTGTTGACATTGATAGAAACATGTAGCTGTTAACGAACGTTGCGTTGACTGACATTGATAGAAACATGTAGCTGTTGACTAACGTTGATAGAAAGCGGTTGACACTGAGAGAAACCTGTAGTCGTTGACTGCCATTTGCAGAAATATAATGGTGCAAAAATTGTTCCCATTTCTTTGTGAAGTGGTAATGTGGATGATGTATCAAAATACAGAGCTATAGGTTACGGTTACGGTTGGGGGGGGGGGGTGTGGACGTTATGTTGACATATATAGAGTTGTGGGGGGGGGGGGGGGGTCTCAGAATAGGCTCAAACAAGCCCCTTGAACGTTGCACACGAAATTGATATTATTTACATGAACAATCACAATGCGTTCGATGCTGAAACTGAATTGAAACCTCAATATTTCATGAATTTCTCGAAGTGTCCAAAAACTAAACGTTCAAGATTTTGCGAAAGCTCAGAATTGCACAAACGGTTTCTGAAGACAAAGATTCCCCCATTCACGTGAGTTCGAAAGTTCCCGCCTTTCGGCCTCTATCAACAGGTTCTGTACAGTCAAGCAGTTTGAGCATCATTAATTCTTGAGCTCAACATGGATCTTGACCTTACAGTTTGAAAAGACGCACCTGTAGAGAATGTACCCTTGGGTACAAGTTTGAATGCGTTTTGGTGATATAACATGCGCTATGTTCTTGCAATGTACAAACTGAAGTCTTCGTTCATTTTCCTTCTTTCTCTGCACAGAACAGAAGGAAGGAATAGCACTTTCGCATGTATGTACATGTATTTAGATATGAAGTGAAGTGTGATATTATATTTATAATGTACATGTATTTAGATATGAAATATAGTGTGATATACAATATATTTATTACAATGAATTGTACTGTGGAGTCCGCTTAAACTGAAACAGAGGGACCATCGGATTTTTTTTTCGCTCCAACCGCTTTTTTCGGTTTGGAGAAGTTGCTTAAAAATAAGAAAAAAGAATATGGGGTGTATTTTCCTTCGGTTTACTGTGCTGTTTTCAGATTGGGCACGTTCGATTTAAGCGGATTCCTCTTTATAATTGTCTGCAGCTTGTCTGTCTTTAAGCTAATACTTACATAAAGTTCCGATGTGCCAATGACCATTGCTCTGTAGAATTATCGCGATGTCTCCGCCTGCAGTATTATCTCGTTGTCCCCCCCTGTATTACATAGTGGAATCTGTCAAGATCAGTTTTGCAGTTTTGGTGACTTGAACTTGAATTGATTCTCTTTGTTAGTGATGATGTTGTTGTTGGGGCGGTTGGGTTTCTTGCTGCTGTTAGTGTCGTGTCAGTAATCACATGACACATAGACCTGCAGATTTTGATGCACAAATATCTTCCATTTACTTTTAACTTTGTGTTATAACATGTACATAAACTAGGATTTATTATATAATAATAATTACGTTTGATGTTTTTCTGATTTGGAGAAAAGTAGCGCTATTGTTTTGTTCCCAGTTGTTGTTTGTTGGATGCTTTTCCACCCCTTTTGCAACAAAAAGTGTCACTTCTTACTGGTCCAAGTCGTGTGGGTTTCCTGCAGGTTATATCAAAGTTACAATCACTCAGTGACAGTATTGTTCTGTCAGCTTTACAATCATAACTTTTTACAAGTTTTAACGAATATATATTTTTTGGAGACTAATTGGATTGATGTTGCTGTACGTCCATTAATGGTAAATAAACTTTTATGTATATTATTATTACTATCCCTGTATAGTCTGCAAGTTTGTCGATATTATAGACTTTGATGACTGTTCAAAATTATTACACATTCAGGTGAGCTCACAGAACTACTAGTAGAACAAAAGAGCTAGGAGTATGACAGGCAGACCCACAGAACTAGGAGTAGGACTTGTAGACCCACAGAGCTAGGAGTTCCGAGTAGGACAGGTAGACCCACAGAGCTAGGAGTAGGACAGGTAGACCCACAGAGCTAGGAGTAGGACTGGTAGACCCGCAGAGCTAGGAGTAGGACAGGTAGACCCACAGAGCTAGGAGTAGGACTGGTAGACCCACAGAGCTAGGAGTAGGACAGGTAGACCCATAGAGCTAGGAGTTAGACAGGGGGACCCACAGAGCTAGGAGTAGGACAGGTAGACCCATAGAGCTAGGAGTTAGACAGGGGGACCCACAGAGGTAAGAGTAGGACAGGCGACCATGGACCCCTTTGGCTGTCCCCTTACATGAGAAAAGTGGGGGAAAAAACATCTCCTGTAATCGTATATACATAACCAATCGTTTGACCTTCCCCCCCCCCCCCCAACCCCCTCACCCACGGCTCTTCTAGTATATGTAACCTCT